AAACAGACAAATCCAAGAGCTTTTTAATCACTTGTACTAGTTTTGCCCTAACTACCACAAATCTCTATAATTACAGTTACCTGTCAAGAAACACACACCAAAATTGCAAAAACTCAAGTTTTGGAAATGAGCAGTGACTGGAAGAATGATACAGGAGGTGACTAATTTACATATATATTTCAATAATATACCTGCATTGCTTGAGTGCATTTGCACTTTACGTCAGAGACATCCACTGTCTGGGCTCACTTATATAGTTTTGTAGAATACAAAAAATCATTACATGTATAGTTTCTACTTATGATAGTTGAAGGTTTTGAGAGTAGTGTATTGAGTTTGTTTGTTTATTTTTTTTTCCACAAATCTTTATAATAACAGTTAGCCATCGAGAGACAATCACCAAAACTGCAAGACCTCAAGCTTTTAAAACAAGCAGTGACTGGGAGAATGATAAAAGAGGTGACTAATACAACTGTTTTTTTTTTCAATAATATACCTGCATTTCTTGAGTGCATTTGCAGATTCTTGTTGGCTTAATTACATAGAAGACCACTTTCCTGGTTACCTAATATAGTTTTATTAAATAAAAAACATCACTTCATGTACAGTTTGTACTCACAATAGTTAAAGGTTTTGAGAGTAGTGTGTTAGGTTTGTTTGTTAATTTTTTTTCTCCCAAAGTAATCCATCAACCTAAGGGGTTTTAATGTTATATTATTGTCTACTAACTCAGCTCTTTCTAACACTTCTGAATTTAAAATCCAGATGCATCTGCACCAACAGTTAACAATAAAAAAGGGAAGGCTAGTGAAACAAAACACGGCAAAAAGAAGGGTAAGTAACCGAACATCTATTAAGTAAGGGAAGGGAAAACTTGAGGGTTTGTGGACAAAATTCGTCAAATTATGGCTATTCTGTTGAATATCAAGAAAGTAAAAATATCGTGACTTACTGGCTTGTGTGATTGAATATTATCCCTGAGAGGTAACTTGGTTCTGACGACCAGCTAATCGGAGATCTCGTGAGTAGATAGGCCATAAAGCTGGTTGATTTCATTTGTTATATTGTGGGAAAGGAGTATGGAGTGATACAACTGTTTTCGTTGGAGCTTGACTTTACCAGTAATTTTGGGGCTAGATTGTCGAACAAATGATTCATAGTCTTTTTATAGTTTAACAGGGCACACCAAAGATGGCTGAGTTAGAAAGATTGGGTATAGATATTGGTGACAAGTGGAAAACTCTGGGAAGATGCTTAAAAGTATCAGAGCAACTCGAAATAATCGATGCGCGATATAATATTCTTTCTGAAAAAGCCTTCTAGATGCTTCAATACTGGACCCAGAAAAGAGGTTCCTCTGCGACCTACAGAGTTC